AACAAGAGATAAGTTTTTTGAAGAGTGGGAGGTACTTCCTTCCAACCATCTTTTCTTTTTGGTAGAATTTAATACATAACTTACATCACTCTTTAAAACATGCATGCATCTTTTCTTTTTGGGTTTTGATATACATTTATTAGTACATCACAGCCCTACCCAGAAATGTGCACTGATTTCATGTTTTGCTGTCCTTTAATTATCTGAATCTTTTCAACTCTCTCTTAAATTCAGGATTATGGACCGAACCATTTCCCAGAAGAGGTAGGCGATATGTAATTCGTAGCGTTATATGTTTAAAAAATGTTGACATTCTAATTGTGGAATTACTCTTTTAACTTTTTCTTTCTTACAGGATCTTCAACTGCTTGGACATTGTTTTCTTGAGGTATAGAAATTTTGCTGCCTTATCTTTCAATCTTTTAACTGTAGAGCTTGTGGTTGAATTCATTAGTTGATAGTTTGATACCCACTAACTTAAAAGGCTTGATTTAGGGGTTTAGTGTGAGGTGTCCAGACTCTTATTTGCAATTCTAATTATGTAATTACGTACTGTTTTAATTGGCAGAGGGGTGAGTCCAGCGGAACCGCACCTCCGGGAGATCATAGTGTTGCCAACATGGCTGCCAATACTTCTCAACTTCAGATTGCAAATATCGGAACTAACAATGTGGAACAAGAGGACAATTTTGCTAATCTGGAGAATGAAGCTGCAGAGGCTGACAACCAAGGAATGGACGCGCTGCTGCCACCTCTGGATCTTGGCATCCTTGATTCCTCCCCTTTTAAATCTTAATAATGGTTTTGGATGCCTTTATTCTTCCTTAATTTGAACAATTTAATTGCCTCAGCGAGGGTTTATAGCCCACAAAACTGATAAAGTTTATGTACATATTCCTTTTGTTTATCCATAGGATACGCCGATGTTAGACTTTCGGTGCTGATGGGAGCATCTTTCATTTGATGTTTGACCTGTTGATGCCTTTTTTTTTTATTTTTTTGGCTCGAATAGGATCAGAATGAGAACACTATACTAAAAGCTGAGTAAATTTTTAATTTTAGTAAGGAAAAAAAATTCTTAAAACAAGGTTAGGACTAGATTTAGATGTCCCATGGTCCTTTA